AGACTCCCAGGCCCCATTCTCTTTCGGCTCCATACGGCCCCTGGGAGACCCCCTTTCGGTGTGACAGCCCCATCCCTGAGGGTCACACTCGCTCTCCGGGGTTAGGCCATCAGGCCCCACCACCTCCTGGGGCTGCACCTCTGAGCCTCCAGCCCATCCAGCTCCCTCCGTGAGCCCCCTCGGGGAGGCCACTCGCTCTGCCCCATGGCGCTGTGTACACCAGGGGTTAGGTGGGCGTCACTGCGTTGCTCCAGGGTGTGGATTTTTCACACACACACCCCCGCAAGCGATGTAATTATACTGGTATCGGTCTGTAGCATAGACCTGGCCGGAGAAAAATGTTCTCGGCAGCTGTTTTTAGTTCCTTCCAGAATTTCACGCGGCTGAGACGAGCGGGTTCCCGGGGCAATTAGCAATGTCTTTGTGTTATGATGTCGTGTTTCGCCAGCCTTGGCGATGGGCCGGGGCCGATCCCTGCTGCGGGCAGGGTCACGGATCCAGAGCAAACTTTTTTTTTCACAGCCAGGAAGCAAAAACTTAGGGGAGAAAGAAATTTGAAGGGAGATTAACGCTAGCAGCAACTTGCATCAAGTCTAAACAGGGTGATATTAGCCGAGCACCCTACTGACCCCTCCTGACACCCCAGGGAGTGGGATGGGTTTCCAGCAATGAATTTCTCAGTGCTCAGCTGAGGCCCAAAGCCTTGGGAAAGGCTGGCAGCAGGTCAGCCACCATCACACGTAGGAGTCCTGGCTCCCACCTCCCTCCCAGAGCCAGGGGGTCCTAGCTTCCAGCCCCTTACTCTAATCCCCACACCCCTCCCAAAGCTGGGGAGAGAACCCAGAAGTCCTGGCTCCAAGCCCCTAGTGCCCTCACCACTAAACCCCACTCCCCTCCTCCAGAGCCAGGGAAAGAACCCAGGAGTCCTGGCTCCCAGCCCCCACCACTAGACCCCACTCCTTTCCTCTAGAGTCAGGAGAGAACCCAGGAGTCCTGGCTCCCAGCCCCCACTGCCCTCCCAGAACCACGGAAAGTACCAAGGAGCCCTATTTAATATTACTCCCACCTTCCCTTCCCATCCTTTCACATTCACTCTGTCTGGGCATGAGGGGGCCTCCAGTTTACCAGGTCATCCAGATCTTCTTGTATAATATTCTGGTCCTCCTCCATATTGGCAATACTCCCAACTTTGTGTCATCCGCAAATTTTATTAGCACACGCCCGCTTTTTGTGCCAAGGTCAGTAATAAAAATGTTAAATAATATTGGTCTCATGACCGATCCCTGAGGAACTCCACTAGTAACCTCCCTCCAGCCTGACAGTTCACCTTTCAGTGTGACCCGTCGTCTTCTCCTCTTCAACCCCTTCCTTATCCACCTTTCAGTTCTCATATTAATCCCCGTCTTCTCCAATTTCACTAATCATTTCTCATGTGGAACTGTGTCAAATGCCTCACTGACACCCAGGTAGATGAGATCTACTGCATTTCCTTTGTCTAAAAAAAACCCAGTGATCTTCTCAAAGAAA